TTATTTTATTTCTCCTCCTCCTCCTCCTCCTCCTCCTCCTCCTCCTCCTCCTCCTCCTCCTCCTCCTCCTCCTCCTCCTCCTCCTCCTCATTATTATTATGGCTTTTCGAGACAGGGTTTCCCTGTAGCTCTGAAGCTTGTCCTGGAACTAGCTCTTGTAGACCAAGCTGGCCTGGAACTCATAGAGATCCGCCTGCCTCTGCCTCCCAAGTGCCGGGATTAAAGGCGTGTGCCAGCACCACCCGGTTGAGGCTCCTGGTTTATAATGAGATACTTGTGTACGCCTCAAGTGATGATTCTCTGACAGTTGGGGTGATTTTACCCCCAACTTCTGTGTCTGTATCTCTGCCTAGGTCCTCCTAATGACTACATTATATATTTCAGACACATCACATCCTTCCCTCAGGGGTTGTGTTAGGGTCTGAGGTAGGTTCGAGGTGTCCCTGTTATTTTCCTGGTAATCTATCCAGGGACAGAATTCATTCCTTCCTTCCTTCCTTCCTTCCTTCCTTCCTTCCTTCCTTCCTTCCTTCCTTCCTTCCTTCCTTCCTTCCTTCCTTCCTTCCTTCCTTCCCCCTCCCGCCTTAGACTAAAGCTGAGCCTGCCCTTCAGTGTGCTGTGGGCCATTTTGGCTAACAGCACGGGAAGGTCAGACAGAGTGAATTACCAGGCTTCCGGTCAGTCACCCATCCCGGAGCCCCTCTGTGTCCCTCCACACGCCTGGTGCTCTCACTCTAGCTCCCACGATTTTTGAACATCAGTTTCTGTGACCTCCAGTAAAGCAGGCGTTAGCATGATGCGCCTTCCATCTTACCCAGTTTTAAGTGTGCGCCACTGTAGTGTTGAGAGTGCTGGAGCCATTGCGTGCCCAGTATCCAGAACTTTTACCCTGCAAGACCAAAACTCTGCCCATTAAATAACCACAGTCCACACCCCCCTTCCCAGTCCCTGACACCCCCCTTCCTGCTTTGTCTCCGAGTGACCACTCTGAGGACCTCACGGAAGCAGGCTCTCGGCAGTGTTGGTCCTCTTCGCTGGCTTCATTTATTTAGCATTCCTTCGCATTTCCTCCATGGTGAAGCATTCTGTTCTTTGCAGGCGATCATGCTTGGCATCGGGACCTTAGAAGAGCAGACTTCTCAGTCTGCTTGCCATTGGGCACATAAAAAGTCCTGACTGGTGAATGCAGTGGTGGGTCCTATCAGCGCTGCCTGAGCTTTGGGTTTATAAGACACCCCAATTTCACAGTGATTGAAGCTCATGTGTGTAGGGCAGATTCCAAGAACTACACCTCAGGGCTCTATCACTGTGGACTCCCAGCATCCTCTTGGATGTACTTACTGGGGGACATAAAAGAACACGAGGTGCAGAAGTGATTAAATACTGTGGGCCTCTGGGGGATACATGGTGTGCTGTTGGGGAGCCGTTGGGCTTCTCTTGGGTTTTGTTGGTTCAGCACCGGGCTCTACATTCAGCAGAACGGTGTTCTGAAATGCTAGTTCAGATACAGACTTTCTGGCAGGCAAGACCCTCTTAACCTGTTGGCCTGCTTCCTTTGTTAGTAAGGCTGATAGTGCTGAAGGTCACTGTTTGCACATTATTGAAATGAGACATTTGCAGTGTGGGGCGTTGTATTGTTTCTGCTAATAGGAACCCACTGTTTTCCACATATGGTTAGTCAGATTGCTTTTTCTAGCCCGGGCCTTTGCCTGGGAGAGATTCCTAACAAAAGACCTTCCGTGGGGAAGGGTGGCTAAGACTTCTGTGTGGGAAGGTGCAAAGCTGGAGGATGAGCAAGGGAGCATGGCAGACTCCAGAAGCCCAGGTCTGCTCTTGTGCTGACCCCGGCTTACAGTCCCTTGACGTCCCAAGACTGTGGTTGCTCTCTTATGGAAGGTGATCTCTGTTTTGCCAGCCACACGGAACCACGGAAAAGTTGGCCACTTGCTATTCCAGTGATCAGCAGTGTGGAAACCATGGTGAGACAATTAGAATGCCCCAAGTTATGGGCCCTTCCTGGCCATTTTGCATAGAAATGACATTCACCAGTCACTTGTATTTACAGGACAGGACAAGGTTAAGGAGCCTGTTTTTATCATGTGTTTATCAGTCCCCCCCCCCCTTTGGAAAAGGGGGGTGGGAGGGCACAGCCCCTCACAGACATCACCCACTGTTTCCTGTGAATGCTTGCAGTTAATATGCATTTTTAAGTAATTTCATTTGGATGTATTTTTAACTAACTTTGAGCTCTAAAGGCCAATCAGCCAGGGATGTCTCCAGCTGCAGGAATAAAATCAAGTTTGTGCTTTGCCAGCCTGCAGCTGGAGCCAGGGCCATTAGCTTTCCTACAGGCGTTCCTAGTCTCTCTAGATGGCATCAGAGGGATGGCAGTTAAGTTCTTAGAGGTCACAGATAGGAGTTTCATTAGGTTTTTTGTTCTTTTCCCTAGCCTTTTGTAGCAGCAGACACAGCTCTGAATAGGTACCAAACAAGCCCTGAAATCCCCAGCAGTCAGGTCATGTCATTTTGAGGGAAAATCTCAAAGGGGCATGTGGAATATGGCACTGGGAATGCCCAGCTTACTTAACTGCTGGACACACACACACACACACACACACCCCGCCTACCTTCTGAATGCACCAGGTACTGACAGCAAGGGGCCGCTGCAGGCATTATGCTGGGCCAGACCTCCCTCCACCTCCTGAGGACGGCCCAGAGGGACAGGAGAGCCCAGCGCCCACAGAATCCCCATCAGTGACTTAAGGTGTTGGAAGAGTGCTGTAGAAATCCTCCGGGAGATTTCCATCATACAGAGAATTTTCCTTATCTAAAACCACCGGGTTTATCTGACCTCAGCTCCCCATATTTCCTCCGTCCTGCGTATCTACTCAGTTTCAGGCAAATCAAGGTCAGAATGAAAAGGAGATTTGGGTGGCAGTAAGCTGGATATTCAGGCTTCTGCAGTAATACTCAATTATTGAATTCTCCAGAAGCAATGAACTCCTCCATATAATGAAGTCCTCGGTTTTTAAATATCTTTATGAAGCAGCCAGTTCAGTGTTGGCTGCAGCCAGCTTGCTGTTTCCTGCTTTATTATAAAGATGTAATAAAGCAGGTGGTCGGTTCTGGGAACTCGCTGGCGTTGCTAAAGGCCAGCTTAAACATTTTAACGCACCTTGTTCTTCCTAACTGAGACTTAAAAGGCCCCCAAATGCCATAAGAAAGGAATCACATGGGAGAAAAATCAGCTTGCCATCATTGTCCTGCAGCCCCGTGTCCCTAGCTGGATCTGCTACTGTCCAGTCCATCCCCTCATCACCCAGAAGCCCCGCCTGCCAGGGCTGACAATCTGCACTGCAGGAAACGCACTACTTCTGATTGCTAAAAGAGAAAGAAAGGTCTGTGAGCATTCAAGTTCCCACGCACTCCTCAGGACTGCAGGTTCCCCTTAGGCGTCCACAGTGAAGCAGGCGCTGCCCTAGAGCCCCAGTGCATACAAACGTTAGGTTCACACTGCATATGTGCAGTCAGTGGTGCCTGCAGTACTGCTACAAATAGATGCACACACCTCAATCTAAAGCTCCTTTCTTGCTAAAGAGGCCAAGGATCGTTGGAACGGAGGACAGCAGTGCTGACCCACACGGTGCGCAGACCTGTGATTCATTTCTAAAGGAAAACAAAACAGAAACAGCAACCCGGAGCACAGCAAGGCGCACGAAAGTGAAGCGCAGTCAAACAAGAAGTGCCCGTGTTTGCAAGCACGTCTGACATTATCATGCTCTTTAATAGCCTTTTTATGTGCTAGCTTTTTTTCTCTTTCCTAACTCCTCCTCAATCATGTCCCGTGTCTCCATAGCTATGACAATATTTGTACCTCTGGTAACGAAATTCTGGCAGGCAGAATGCCACTGGCATCGCCTGTCCTTGTTAACAGCATTGTATCCGTCGCAACCAGACTCCAACTGACTACTTGAAGCGTTCTTGTATTTATTCAGCAGTGTGTGTGTGTGTGTGTGTGTGTGTGTGTGTGTGTGTGTGTGATACGAACTTACAAGTGTATTTCTCTGGCCAATTTTAATTTGTTAAATGTTGAATATGATTGATGCTGCTTTAACATCATTTGCCATATACTGTTTTGGTGAGAGTAATTTAAATTGCCCCTTGGCCTGCGTGTCTAGCATTGTGAACCGAGGGTTTTCTAACATTAATCTTAAGCTAGTCCTTGATTGAGGATAACCCCCTCTCCACTCAAAGGGTTTTTTACTAAGATTGGGTGGCTAAAAGTGTTTCACTGACTGTCTTTAGACAGTGAAAATACTCCTCTAGAAATGCAGTGAGCGCCTTAGTGATACATTGATTTTGTTCATGTTCTTGCCTCTGCTGTCACCAGAATGCGGGTGGCGATGCATCTGCAGAGTGTTTTATGAGGTATGGAGTGCAGCATTTTAAGCCAAGAAATTGAAAACAAGATACAAAACAACAGAAGGGAGGGCAGGAGTGGATCAAAGTCACATCTGTGTGGAGAGGATTTGGTAGGGGAGATGGCAAGAAAGGCCAACGCAGGTATATTGCCGGCAAGTTCTGATGTCTAACTAGGAAGCCAGAAGCCATGCTCAGTCACAAGGCACGGACAAGGCTTGTTTGCCATGGGCATCCAGGCGCACCCATGGGCTCGTGAGCAGACACCAACAAATGTCAGTGCTTCCTGATATCACCAAACAAATCCCCAACCACATGCGTTTGCCGGTGGCCTGTAGATGCTCTCTCATTGGCCAGTTGTGACCCTGGCCAAGATGATAACCAGAACGTTTGCACAGATGGTTTTGCTGTGGGGAAAGAAAGCCCATTTTTAACCTAATTATTTTTAAAGCGTGCCTGGGGAAAGGTTCCAAGGCCGCCATGTGTGAAGTTTGGAGAAGGGGCTGCCAAGGAAAGGGCTGCCGGGGAGTGAGGGTGGATCCCAGTTCTCAAACCTCACACACATCTGTGTTCTCTTCCAGCACATCAGGTCCACCCATCTGGCCAGGCAGTACCTTCTTCAAGAGAAACGGAGCCCTTCTGCAAGGTAGGTGTCTAGGGGCAGCACATCCTGTTCCCTCATCTCCTTCCCTCCTTCTTTGTGCACGGTGCCTGTCGGGGCGCTCACTTCTGGTTAGTAGCAGCTCTCTGGAGAGGTGTGTGACTGCTGTACCCCGGGTCCGAATGCCCACTTCTTAGTTTCTCCTGCTCAAGTGTCTTGGTGGCTGGGAATTGTGAGTTTGAAACCAGGCCTCTGTCCCGGGGCTGTTTCTTTGGTGGAGTTGGAACAGGGACGGTTGGATGTGACAGGAGTGCACAGGAGTGCACACCGGGTTGATAAACGCAAACTCTCGTGGGTTTCTGATACCTGGGACGATCCCGGCTGGTTTGGGTATATTGACACTTCTGTCACCATGGAGATACATTTGTTCCCTGTTGTCTCCTAACATTTCCTGCGTACCTGGAAGGTTGGCTGCAGCTTGTTCTGATGCTCCGGGACAGTTGGTCATCTAGTGTCATCGGCTGGGGGACTGTGTTCCAACCCATCCTCAAATGTGGTGCTAGATCCTGTCAAGGAATCCAAACTGTCTTTCACCTCCAGTTTTGCTGTTAAATTGCTTTGCATTCTCCGAGTTGGAGAAGGGATGGTTGAACACGGGTGATGTATGCCTGCTTCTTTTAGACGTTGCTTTTGGGTTATGGCTGTTGTGGGTGTCTGCTCTGTGTGTAAACTAGGCAATCCTTGTTGACTATCCCACCCAACTCATCCAGGAGTTGTGGACGAGAGGGAAGCACAGACATGGAAAGTGAGTAGACGGGAGTGTGCCAAGAACTTCAGAGCTGTGCTGTTGCAGGATGGAGGATTTGATGCCTTTGGCCGGCTGTTCAGCCTGTCTTGTGAAAGGGTGCACTGAAACGAGCCATGTATATGAAGGGGTTAGATGCTCCTGTGGTTAAGAAGAGGCACCGTCCATTGATTTTTTTGGTGGGAGATATGGTTCTTGTTTCATGGGCCACACGGCTTTAGGCTTTTCAATAGCACGTGAAACTAGGATCCGGAGAGTTTGGGGGTGTTTCTCTTGTTACAGATACAGTTGAGTAAATTCTACTTTTGTAGCCATCATGGGTGCCCTAAATGACTAAGAAAAGGGAAGGAATTGACACACAATTGCTAAGATTAGGAACAATGGTTGGGCCATCCTTTGGGTTTTTCTCGAGTGAAGTTTGCTGTAACCCGTGTCTCTCCTTTTCATGTAGAGCTATAGTAATTGCATGGGTATCATTAACCTGTGGGTTATTTTTAGAGTTGGGGTTTTGTTTGCTTGGAGCTTTTTCTTGCAGGATTCAGTATGTTCTGTTCCACATTAGGTAAGATTACTCTGTGGGGATCAGGGTTTTTGGTTGGTATCTATGACACAAAACCACGGAGGAAGTCAGTAATGCCCGAGAGAGTGCAGTGGGTTCTGTTGCATGGGTGGATGTATCTTCCTTTTTTCTCTTGATGATTTACAAATGCCCTTATTCCTATATAAACTGGGAATTAAACTACTACAGGTTTCAGGTGGACATGGGATCTACATTCAGTTGAATATAATGTGTGTGTTCTATATTGTGTATATGAAAACCATAAAAATCTTTGTAAATTTGGGGTTTAGTGATGTGCTAACATTTTTGTTTCTGTGATGTTTTTACCATTTTGCCCTCTCATCTGGAGTTCTTGAGACCTCTCTACCCTGAAAGAGTTATTTCAGACTTTAAGGGAATCTTCCCAAATGATCTTTGTTGTCCAGAAGTTGCTGATGCCAGCAACTTTACACCTAAAGATACAGGGATGCAAAGGAGTTAGAACCGTGCCCGACCTCGGTGCTGCTTTCTCAGCCGTGCGTACATCTTCCCTCTTCTTCCCATATCAGACCAGGAAGGAATCCAGGCTCAGAGATTCTGTGCAGCCAGGGTGGGTGAGGTACAGGATGCAGGAACTGGAAGACAGGCAGTTGGGCCACGTGGGGAAGAGGAGGCTCACTTTTTGGCAGGAAGTGTGTAGAAGAGGGGGCATCACTTCCTTGGGGAAGTGACATTTCAGCAAGGCCTAAACCAGAAAGAGGTATGCGTGCGTGTACGTATGATTCACAGACGTGGCCTTCCCAGAGAGGGAAATCCCAAAGGGCAGTACAATGGGGACATGGTATTGGACATGTGGCACCCGGCAGGTGCTCCTTGACCATATTCAAATCAACTACTATAAGGAGGAAATAGCACAGGAATTCACCTAATGGTGTACGTGCTTGCCAACACAAGTCACTGTGAAGTGACAGTGGTTTGCCCTTGTGAATATGTGGCCAGTGGCAGCTGCACAGTCATTACTGCCCGCGTCATAAGAAGTCAAGGCCCTAAACCCTTTGTCTAGAAAGAGTTTCTTTTTTTCCCCTTGCTTTTTGAACGTAGTCTCATGTAGCTCAGGCTAGCTCACACTTGCTATACAGTAAAGGCTAACCTTCAACTCCTGTTCTTCTAGGATTACAGGTGTGCACAACCTCGCCTTGCTCTTCGAGGACAGTTCTCCCCACAAGGCATATAGTTTTCACACTGTCATAAAGTTGAAAATTAAAACAAAACAAAAAAAAAAGTGAGGGACTTAGGCTGCTCTACCGAGAAATACTTGAGAGTGAGAGCCTGAAGTGACATCACAATTCCAGCAGCAAACCAACTGCCATTGGTTGTGTAGCAGTTGCTTGGCTTGTGAGCTGTTGAACAGTATATCGATATTTTCTAGCATAAAACTAACAGGAAGAATTAGCCAGAGGTGCTCAAGGTCTTCCTTGGCCCTCGAGTGTGGCACCGTCTTTTGGCTCACAAATCGTAGGCAGTCTGAGCTGTGGAATCACCTCCCAGTTTGAGAATATTGGGGGAAGATTTGGTTTGGATTACACCAGGCAGGGCTACTTCACATAATTGGTCATTTCATCAACTCACAGTGTTTATTCTGAATGCCATTTAGGCTGCGAGAAACGATTTCAGTGTTTTAGCAGTTTCGACGGACTGGAGAGCCCTTCAGCTTTTGTACAATAGACACCAAGCAGAGCCGCACGAGGGGACCAGCCTGTTGTCTAACAAGGGACCTGGGCACATCGAAACACAAGTGGGTCTTGTTGGGAGGCTTGCAGGAGCGGCCAGCTGGCAGGTGTCTCCAAGAGCCTGTGTCTAAGTTTCTGTGTTAACAGTCCGTATGTGTTTGAATTAAAAAAGAAAATTAGCTTAGAGACGTCTTTTTTCTTAATAAGCAGAGTAAATTCTTGTTTGGGGTTTCTCCTTTTCTACCCCACCCCACCCACTGCAAGCTCAGATTTAGTTTCTTTCATTTAAATGTCACCATAGCTTGAATTCTTTTCATGAGTTTGTGTTTCGTAATTAAGGATCTGTCTCACGCTGGTCTGCCCCTTCATCTGGCCTCTGATGTGTTTGCCCTAAGAGGACATAAGACACGTCCCCCTCCACCCCCCTTTAGCTTCTTGCCTTCTGCTACAACTTGGTACTAGCTGGGCCTGACCTTCCCTGCCGCCGTTTCTGTTCCTTTGTCCCGTCTTGAGCCTCATAGCCCCTGAACTTGCCTGAGTTTTGTTCAGGGAGAAGCTGCGCCCAGCAGATCACCCTGGCTTGCTTTAGCGCTGCATGTCCTTGGAGAAGCGCCTCCCACGCCCATCCACACACCCCCCACGGTCTGTGAGCTTCTCTTTTCAGTTTTGTGTCTGGTTGAAGCTACCCGGGGGAGGCCCAGGGCCCGTCTCAGCCACTCAGCCCAGGACCGGTCTCAGCCACTCAGCCCAGGACAGGTCTCAGCCACTCAGCCTAGCTAGAGAAGAAGCCAGTAGCTGTCAGCACCGACAAGAACTCCTTCTCAAACTTCCCCCATCAGCAGCTGATACCCTGCCTCCTCTGGTTTCCCGTCACCTTCCTTCTTCAATCTAATAGTGGGTCGTATTACTATTACTATTATTATTATTATCAAATATTATTATTACCACTTCTGTGTCCCTAGCATGCAGTGAATGAAGCAAAGTAAATTCTGTCACACACCACAGGTTTTCTTTCCGTTGGCTGCTGACAGCCCACAGGATAAGTTAGCGCAATGGAAAGAAGCCCTTAGAGGCATTTTCAGTGCGTGTAGCAGGATTAAGCTGCCACAAGCCCAACAGCCAAATGGGGAGAGGAGACTGGTTCCCTCGCTGTCGGATGCCTGCTGTGTGGGTGTGCACAAGGGCATGTGCCATTGGTGAACCATGCGTGAGGACGATCTGCGGGGCACTGGAATTTGTCCTGTTCTGTGTTGGCTTTGTGCATGTCTTCCCACCCTCCCCACAGCCTTCATCTGCTGCCGCTGCTCCGCCGTGTGTTTTACTGCTGTATCCAAGAGGGAGTTCCCATTTGATTTTATCTCATGGCACAAAAGGCCCAGGGGCGACTTACTCAGAAAACTCAGGTTCTGAGTCACATCCCCAGGCTCTGGTCCTCAGTAAATGCCATGGTTTTAGTCAAGATGAAACCCAGACTCCATTTTTCTCCACTGTAGGTTCAGGAACATCCCTCTGGGACAGTTTCCTCCCTGAGGACCAGCTCTGATCCGTCCTAGCCACTGTCCTATAAACAATAGATTAAAGTGAACTGTGGAAGAAGTGTTTCCCTCGGCCAGATGTCTTCCGTGGGTCCTAGAAGATGGGTACAGTGGACAGTCAGTCATCAAACACCACAGATTTCAAAGCTCTCACAGCTTGTCAGGAAGCAGTATGGTATAGATTCAGACAACCTGGAAAGACATCTTGGCTTGGCTTCCTAAGCAAGTAGCTTAACCTTCATATTAGACCGATTTCTGTTGTTAAAGCAGAATAACCAAGGAAGGCTAGATTATATATTGGGGGGGGGGGATTTTGCTCACAACCTCAATCAAAGTCTCATGATCCCTCCTTGACAAGGGCTTCATGTCAGTGGAGGCACAGTGATAGGAACACAGAGAGAAATAAAAACCAGAAAAAGACATTTTCAATTTTCTGT